GAAAATGTGAGGTTAGGTACATCACGCTTGCCATGTACGTATCAGCTGTCTCCACTTTGGCCCCACCATCAGGAAATCCGACACTGAAAACCAAGTATGGACAATCAACTTAACAACAGTCAGGCAGTATATATCAGATACTGGGATAAATCTACTGTCCTGTTTCCCTAGTTTCTCACACAAACACATGCAGAATGCCACATATGCAAGGGGAGGGGGCTTCTGCCCACTTTTCCTGCATCTACCCCTCTTCTAGTGTAGATCTAGATCTGTAGATCTTTATATTAGGGTGAAAACAGATGACGGGGAGCCATGCAAAGTCATGGCAGGGAGTGAGCTACCATTTCAAAAACAGAAAAAGTGAACTATGGCCTCCAGGACTGCACAGTGCAGTATGTGTTACTAGTGATACTGCTGTCACTTAAAATCAACCTGGAAGATTATCACAGATTTGAAAGTAAAGAGTGGAACAGGCCAAAGAAAAAAACATTGGAAGGAGGCTCGTTTCACAGAGTCAAGTGGTTCCTTCCAAAGACCTGGATTAGCAGAATGGAAGCTTCTACCTCCTGGCAGCCTTGTCTTTTCATCTCCTTATCAGTTCAGATCTACAAGCAGCCAAATATTTTTTTTAGACAATAATTTTACATAAACAAAAACTACTGCTGTGTCTTTCTGTTACCACAGTTCATTGGTGCACTGTCTGGGTACGAAAAGCATATATACACATGCACACAGTTTGTATTATTCATTCCAATATGTAAAATCATCTACACACCACTAAAATATCTTCTAATATATTTAATTTAAACAAGCATTACTTGCTACAAATCAAATTTGGCACTTGTCCAGATTTGAAGATTTGAAGATGGGAATAAATGAGTGCCTATGTTGTGGCTGGCTACAGCCCTAGTCACAGACTTCATAGTTATTGAACCCAAGATTATGCCTGAGAAGGCCCCTCTAGATTTTACTGTGGAGTGGTCTTTCCATAGACTTGAAGGAGGGCCAGACTCAGAGTGGAAAAATATTCTTCCCACAATCCCCTTTGGTCTGTGTCTTTCCTCTTGTGCATATAGTAGTCTTAACTTCCAGCCAGAATTTTGTCCAAAAGGCACAAAAAGGAAGCCTGGATTTATTTTAGTCAAGATAGAAACTGGTTCTTTCACAGTTTTTTGGTTTTCTTTCCTAATATTTAAAGCAAGCATATGATTTACTTGCAGCCAGTATAGGCTTCAGCATTTAAACCTCTTTTCTTTGCATACATGAGTGAGTGCTGCAAGAAGCTGATCACCTAAGATGTTGAGTACCCCGTTCACATTGTGTGGTGAGAGCTGTTGGAAAATCAGACTCTAAATGAATAAAATAAATCATATTGCTTATGCAAAGCATATATCATTTGAGTGGATAAGGTTAGGTTTCATCCTGTTACATAGGTACCTGCTCTATACCCTCTGCATCTTGTTGAAAATATCTGCAAGAACTATATGATACTTACAAGACTGTACTTGTGAAAACTGCTTAAAAGAACTGGAAATTGATTTTCTATTTAATTCATGAGTTATGAGTATATCAGGTTTTAGTCTTTTAAAGACAGATAAATGTAAACCTCCCCATACAGGGAAGCCATTTTCTATTTCTCTGCACCTCTCTTCTAGCTTTCACTCACCCAATTGTGGCACAGTCAATATATAATAATATTCATAAAGGGCAGGACTTCATTTTTATTTTTTCATTTTATTTTTATTTTGAAATAAAAATAACTGGCAAATCATCATGCTTTTTTCTGGCTATAAAATGCAACAAGATTTTTACAAGATAGGAGTTTTCTCTCCCTAAGAGACAGATCATGTTGGTTGACAGATCATCTCTCTACCTATATAAGCCTCCATCACTGTAGAAGTTGGGTGCCCGATCCATTCTCAAAATTATTGCAGATTTTCCTAGCCTCAGTAATATAAAGTGATCAAACGTGTGACAAACAATTACAATACTACTTTTTCCTCCTCCTCATCAGCTGTAAACTTTTAGAACTGTTGTTAAGCTACCCAAGATCTTGTGGGAATGCAGCTATATTTAAAAAGAATTTGTGTTTTCTTCATGATTTTAGTGGAATCAGGAGAAGTGAAAATTATGACTTAAGTATAGTGTCACAGACTTTAAAATGTAGATCCCAAGCAGTCTTGCACCTACACAAAAAGAGACAGCGTTTTCAATAAATTACTACAATCTTTAAAACTCAGCAAAATTACTGAAGCAATAAGATATTCTCTGTCCATTGTGGTCAATATTTATTTTGACTTAGATTAATACAATTAACATAACAGACTGAGACAAAAGATACTCACCTAACTCTTTGAGAAGATAAATAAAGATAAATTTCTTCTGTTGATATGGACCCATAAAGCTATATAAAATGAGAATTTATTTTTAAATACCTTTAAAAGATTTTTACCCTCTGCAAATCTTGACCCTTGAACACACTTATTAAAAATATTGTTACATTCTTCATTCAGATTTGTGTAAAACTATGAGAAATTAAAGTATTACCATACGTTATTATGTTTCGATGCAAAAGCTCTGAATTGTGATCTGTCAATGAGTGGCATATTTAAAAAGATGAGTAATATTCTGGATCATCCTAGAAACCATAATAGGTACAATTGTTTTTATGCATTTATGAGCAATGATAAAAAGCATTTTAAAATAGAATTGGAGATCATTAAAAAGAGCAATAATAGTGGAAATAATAGTGAATTAAACTCAGAGCAATTATGATTACATTTTAAAGAAAAAATAAAAGATGTAACTTATGCGTTGTGCTTTTAATTTTCAATTTCCACAAAAAGTAACTCTAACCAGTATCTTTTTTTAATAAGTATTATGAAATAAGTGTGTGCTATGCAGCACATCTGTGTGGTTACCCTAACTGTTCAGAAGCACCTAACAGTAAACACAAACAGTGGCTTTAAAGATATTTCTGTGCTGAAGTGTACTTTGATGGTGAGAAGCTGTAACATGCTAAATTCTGAGGTTTCTGTACAACAGAAACCATACTGTATAGAGACACCCCACCTACAGTACTGTGGTCAACAAGTCTGATTGCAGAGTTTTGGATGCAGAAAAATATGTTGAATTAGTACACTGTACTGTCTGCATGTTTCTATAACATTCTATAGATGTACATATAGGTCTATACAAATGAACTGCAATTTTTTTGCTACAAACAGAAAAGTTCTAAAAGGCATTTGAAAGTGATCATTTTTTCAATGGTAGTATGAGTTTTCAATTTCATATTTGATCATTCAAAGTAGTGGAAGCTACTGAGGCTTTTCCAGTTCAGATATGTCTTAATATCAGTCATGACAAAACTAGTTTCTTAAGACCAGCACTGTTAAAACTGTTTTTTGAAATGCTTGAATAATCACATTTTAATAGAAATCTATCTTCTTTTTTAACCATATTTTGGTAAAGGAGTTACAAAGATTGAAATAGGTATAAAAGTGACATCATGTAGCATACCTTACTGAAAAAATAAATGTATAAAGCAATGGTATAAAGGTATATCTATGCGATGGACCAGCTAGTACGAATTAGCAATAATTAAAGCTCACGTTTTCCATGGTGGAACCAGCTGGGATTCTAAGGTAGGCTGGGGTTGCAGTTAGCATTAGCTTGCATTAGGATCATAACAAGATAAAACAACAGCCTTGTGAACCATTTACAGTGGCACTTTTGTATCTCCTTGCTGAAGCATGTGCAGAGGGACTTTTACTTAGGTTATTGAGTAGTACCGGTAGTACTGTCAGATTAAGCAGACCTATTCTACCCATTTAGTGTTCATCCTCAAGTTCTATCAAATACCCTCATGTTATAATTTTATTCACTTAAAAATCCCAGAAAATTACTGAAGAGGAGACCTAAACATTAAAAATAAAAAGATCTATTTAATTGTTTAGTGCAAATGGCGTAGAGGAAGAAACAGAACCAAGTTCATTCACACTGTTGGCTTAGATTTGCCCTGGTAAGGAGTTCACATACTAAGCAGCTTTTACGGGGACTTGCAGAGCAATTGAGAGAAAATAAAGGTTTTTCTTATTTCAAAATAGACCCTGTTGTAATTTTAAAAGATATGTACTGCTCATATTTTTCATAAGGATTCATAGCAATAACTGACTTAATCTTAGAATTTGTATGTGCATCCTTGTTTTTAGCAAGATAACATAATTAGGATCATTTGATTGTACTTAAAATGCCAGTTCATATTTCCAAACATCCATGGCTAAATAAGATAAGACATATCCATCACTGTGTATAGACAAGAAGGAGCTCATCTTAGCATTGCTGGTTGGCCAGTACTTTTCATTCTTACCTTTATCACTGTACTGGTGCTTGATAACTTGAAAGTAAAACAAAAGCAATGGTGCCTGCATCTGGACATCATATCTATTTTTTAACTAATTAAGTTAGGTGTAATATATATTTTCTTACTAATGATGTGGTAGATCAATGTTGGAAAGGATCGCAGTGAGGGTAACAGCTATTGAATATTAATAGGACAAATCCTTTATTAAAAGTTTTTCAGAACTACAGTACAAAGTCACACTTTTATAATGTTGGGGAGAAAGGCATCTGCAAAATAAATTAAATGACTTAAGTGTAGGCAAAGATAATTGTACTGAATTGAAATATTATAGAGGAAGATCCAGTGCTAACACGTTATACTGCTTAATGACAGAAGAAAAATTCACGGCTCAATTTATTGGAAATTCCCTGTATTTTTTGTGTTCTGTTGTTTGACTTGTGCCTGGAGGATTCTGTTGCCTCAGTTAGATTACACTCACAGATATATATATATTTTAAGTTAGAAATATATTTAGACTTATTTGCTTCCTTTCTGAACTTCTTAAAAACTACAGCAACTGCAATTTATCATTTCATGAAAAAAGTACTATAAAATAGTGACTTACAGATTTTTGACAGACCTGTTTTCTTTTTTTCAGGTGACATTTACGAAGAGGAAATTTGGGTTAATGAAGAAGGCTTATGAGTTGAGTGTTCTATGTGACTGTGAGATTGCTCTAATCATCTTCAACAGCACCAACAAACTGTTCCAGTATGCCAGTACTGATATGGACAAAGTGTTGTTGAAATATACAGAGTACAATGAGCCACATGAGAGTCGAACAAATTCGGATATTGTTGAGGTAAGAATTTATGGCTTGTGACAACAAATTCTTTCATTATTTTAGGACAACTCACTGAATGGTTCCAGAAACTGTTTAGTTGCTTTTAAAGAATACCACAGTTTAAAAGAAATCCAGGAAAAGTCACTTAATAAAACAAATATTTGGACTTTCTCTCTCAATACAGAATTCTTTTACAAAATACAGAACCACAACATGGACAACATTCACACCAATATTGGAAATACCTCATTGTATAATGTAGCAATCTTAATACAGACCATTAAACTATTGTTATACAACTACCTAAGAGTATTAATTCACATTTAAAATATTATTAAGTAAATGTCCAATGTTTCCATTATATGGTAGCAGTTGAAACTAACTTCAAGATGCAAATCCTGCAAAGTAAATTATATTTTTTAAAATTTTGTTAATATTGTTTCAAAAAAGTAAAATTTCCAAAATTGCCTAATTTAGCTGCATTTGAAAACAAGGCTTCTTGTCTAAATGAATAGAAGCCTAATGGTAACATTTTCAAAGTATCTAGGGCCAAGAACCTCAAAGACATTCAAATCAAAGGGAGTTAGGCACTCTGGGCACTTACAAGTGCTCCGACTCGTTTTAATTAGAACATGTCGGAGCAGATTCAATTAATTGAGCCTGCTGGGGCATTCTAATGAGAACACTCCAGCATGCTACAGCACCTCCTGTATTCAGTGGCCCATGTTTCAAAATGGTGGCAGAGGCATTTTAACTAAAGCCTGTCAAACGAGTTTTAGTTAAACTGCCATTGTCACCATTTTCAAATGTGGGACGCTGAATACACAAGATGCTGCATGCATTTTAATTAGAGCAGCTCCAGAGAGCCACTCTAATTCAAATGCCCCTCTCAACCCCCACATCCTGGAGCATGTGTACAGGCACCTTTGAATTCATGGAGAATCTTATCCTGTATACCAAATGGCTTAGAAACTTTTGAAATCACCAGGACATTTTTTGAAAATAGAACTTATGTGTTTTTGGAAGTTTTACCATTGACAAGTACCACCAAGGTAGTTTGAGTTTGATAATGGGGAGAGGGGATGACATGTAATTTGTATATTTTAAGTAGTTTTAATGAAAAATACCCATGATAAGGCAGTCGCATTTAAGTATTCAGTTTGAAATGTAAAGTGCTTAGGCCATTTCAGATTTTCTACTGTTTCAGGGACAGAAGAAACAGTTATTCAGCATGTAGATGTTGAACAAGAGCCCTTGTATTAATGGAAAAAAAAAGTCCTGTGTAATTATCATGTCTTTACTTGATAATTAACATCACAGTTACCAGTAAAATGGGGCAAAAAACCCCACAAAAGCTTGAGTGCAAACAGATGGCTTTGCATTTAGTTTAGTTTGGATATATTTTTAGGTGCAGAATATAAATGTGCCACAAACTTAAATATTTACATTTTTCAGTTAAAGTTACTACAGTAAAAGTATTTCCTTTAAAAGTTGGGAGTCTACTTTATTTGGTTTTGTGACATTTAAGCTTCTTACCTCATAGCTTTTAATCTTGTTTTTCTAAGACTACTGAAAGAAGTTTATGGATAAGATAAGATAATAAATATGATTGTTTTCTTCTTAATGACTTTTCAATAACTATGTGCCACCAGAAGTATAGAGTGTAGTTCTGCTGGCAATGTTCTTAAAAGAAGTAGAGAAGGAGTAATTGATTTAGAATCCTAATTCCTGTCCACACAAAATATAAGAATGTCTGTTTAGTTACTTGTTTCAATACTTACTCCAATTATTGGTTATTAGAATATATCACAATTTAAACAATATTTATTCCCAAATTCAAAAAGTGTAGCTCACCGATATACCTTTACTACTTTCAAATTAAGCTGTTGCTATTCAAATTTAACACCTAAATGAATTTTAATATAGTTCTGGTTAATCGTTAGCATTATTAATCAGTCTCTTTCTGGAATTAATTATGTCTAGTGTTTATTAAGGAATCACTCTTCAGGCAGCAGTTTTTTATTTGAAGCAACAGAAGACAGAGGGTTTTGCGAATCCAATAAGTATTATTCTCTTTTTCAATGAAGAAATGATTTGGAATGAAATTAATGGCTGTTTTAATAGTTGTCGGTGTTACTGCAAATCAGATCAAACTATCTCAGTGCTGCCCAACTTGTAGATACATAATTCTGATAACAGTCATGACACAAAATATATTAACTATTAAGAGAATTTACCAACCTTTACATCTACTTCTTTTTTGAGCTTAATAATTTATGTAGTTAAACAAATATTGTTATGTTCTTTACACACGTACCCATTCTCATCTCATATGATAGCTATCATGGAAATGTCATATACATTTCATTCAGCATGTAGGTGATGAAAGTTTAATTATTACCGTGGTTATTGGTGATTAAAATGCTATCATTTTTCCCACGGTTGAGGGAGAAAAGTTTATTCACCCTTCTCATTTGCTCATTTGGGGGTCTCGTCTAAACAGTAACGAAAATTATTCCAAATTCTGTTGAAAAGTCTGTAGCAGTTTTGTGATGTATATTGGTTCAACAAACAAAGAGTTACTTTAAGGCCTTCATCTGGAGTTAGACTGTGTTCCTAAAACTGGAGTCTGAGTGTTTTCAACCACTAAACCACTCACTCCACAGTCTTTCATTAAACCTAGTTTCTGTTAATAAAGCACACGTTGGTCATTGGTTTGTGTCGATTTGTTACAAGCTATTTAAGGTCTGGTTTTCTCTAAAGCCTTGGTCTTTGAGGGAAAAGATGAACTTCATCCTAACATAAACTTTGGTGTGATAGATACCAAAACAATACAGTTAGTACAGTTGTAGTTTAAAGTAGGGTTACCATATTTCCAGTTCAAAAAAAGAGGTGGAGCAGGAGAGGGGCAGAAACGGGGACATACGATTGTGGGAGACGGTGATATGCCGGTGCCCTGCCCCAGCCTTGCTGCTGCCCCTCATTCCTGACCCACAGACTCCAGCCCTGCCAGTGCCCCTCACTTGCAAACCGCAGCCCCCCTGTCTCTGCTGGTGCCCCTCACACCCAACCCACAGCCTCCTGGTGCTGCCAGTGCCCCTTACTCCTGACCCATAGTCCACCACCCCTCTGGTCCAAGCCACAGCCCCCACAACCCTGCCAGTGCCCCTCACTCCCAATCCACAGAGCCCTGCTCCCCACAACCCTGCAGTGTCTCCTGGCTGTCCTTCCCCTGCAAGTAAGGGCACTGGCCCTGGTGCCTCCAGCCCAACCACGCAGCTCCATGCTGCTTCCAAAGGGTCCCTCTACCCCTTTCCCTCTCACCCTGCTGCAGCCCCAGCACCCAGACAGATTCCCTCAGTGTCAGCAGGCACTAGCTCCTCTCACACACCCATCCCCTCTCACACCCGTGCCACACACACACACACACACGCACGTGCATGTTTGTGTGTGGGTCCCCCACCAGCACAGCCCCTCGGACAGTTCCCAAGCCCTGACCCTCCAACCCCTGGCCCCACAGACCTACCTGCATCCAGCTGCTGGGGCTGCTTCTACCACCCTGAGGGCTGCATGCTGGCCACATGTGTATGCCTCAAATTGTGCTCTCCCCATTTCTACCAGCCCCAAGCAGCTCCTTGCTAGGGCAAACTGGGAAGTGCCAGGAAGAGCTTCCAAGCTGAGCTGACCAAAATCCCAGACATTTGACCAAAAAGCTGCCTGAACAGAGATCAGAGAATCCAAAAAGAGGACATGTCTGGGAAAATCCAGATGCATGGTAACCTTATTTAAACCTACAATCCTATCATGCAGTAGAACACTTTAAATTATTAGAAGCCTCATTATTCTTTAAAGTGAGATTCAATTTGTCCCATTAAATACTCCATATTTTATTTGGTACACATTTTTGATTAATCTAAAAAATTGCATTTTTACAATTGTGGGTGGGTTTCAGTCTGTATTCAGTCATCAGTCTGTAACTCATGTTCTCACCTGTTTTAAATAAATGAGATCTAAAATATGGATCTCTCACTTAACATGTACAGATTTTCATCCCTCCTGTCCTAATTAGGTTATATAGAGCAATGTTGAAACTTCTATATGATATTGATGGAAAAAAGTAAGATTAACATAAAAATGTATAGAGGAGGGACAAGTTACTGCTTTTTTGCAGTAGTTCAGATTCCAGGAGATTGATTCTCCCCTCTTTTCTACAAGTTTTAAATAGTTGTAACAACACCGATTTCAGTGAAGTTGTTTTTGATTTTTCTTGCTTGATTTTTCTTGCCCTCAGTCATATATGCTGCCTGTGTCCCTAAGAAGTGTGTCACATGTAACAAATAAAGAATTCATGGGTATATATAATGAACTTTACCTACAAAACATGAGAACATGGTCCATAGTTTATTCTGGGTTATAGTTAAGTTACAGTTCAGGGAAAAAGCCACTTTTGATTTTTTTGGATACAAAAAGGTAACATCTTAATCCGTTAAGTAAAAATAACACCCGTGTATACTATAATTTACTAATCCAACAATGATGATGAAAATTTCTGAAGCTATGCATTTCCTTTGTACTAAGCATTAAGGTCTACAGAGTCATGCCTCATAAACAGCCTCATATACCCTTTCTTTGCAGTAGGAATAAGTCTGTCCTTCAATTTTGGGTTTTTTGGTCCTGATAATGGTTTTCCATACAGCTACTCTTTTTCCCACATAGAAGACCACTTTTTAACATTATACCTAGGCTTTGAGATAATAGACCTTCCTTCTTCTAATTATATTTAAAGGGTTTTATTGCCATCCAGAATTTGCAATAATACTGAATGCCACAGTTTTCCCTTCTGCTCCCTCCAGTAACAATATTAGTCCACTGCCTTTTAAAAAACAGAGGGAAGAGATGGGCAACATTTCACCCTTGGTAAGGGTGCATGATCCAGGACAGTTCATTATTATAACTGCTCTAAGGTATCAGAGACCATGACTTTGTCCACTTTGTTTAGTTGGGCAGGTTTCCCACTA